ACTACCCAGAATAAGGAATATACCCTACTTCCCAGGGTTTAGGGTCCTGAAGGTAATGCAGGATTTATAGTATCAACGGTATGGGTAGTTCTCCAAATTAGGGTCCCTTTTTAGGCCCCCAACATAGTACGGCACCCTTACAAAGAGGACCCTAAACGGGACCCTGATTTAGAAAACTACAAGTACCCGTTTCTAAGTAATTACCACCATCATTCCTCAGGCCTCCTTGCTATCAAAGGGTCCAAACCCCTAGTCCAAGTATGAAGGCCCCTACATGATGGGGTGCTGAGGTCTGTGGAAGGGTACAAGGGTGCTATACTGGTTACCATAAGGGTTTCAATCCCTGTGTTCAGGATTTTAGGGTTTAGGGTTCAGGAATCGTGATGCTGGATTTAGTGTCTCAGACCTCTGGCTGAGTGTGGGATGTAACGCTTAGTCTTCAGCCCTCAGCCCTGAACCCTATAAGCCCTATAAGCCCTATAAGCCCTACAAGCCCTACAAAACCCTACAAGCCCTATAAGCCTTATTAGCCCCATACACCCCAGAAGCCTCTGAACGCTATCAGTCCCGAAGCTCTTGGGTGTCGTCCGATCTCCGGAGCTCCACTCAAACGATCACAGGGCGGTGGACGAGTCTTTCCGCATTCCGCCTTTGCGCACAGGAAAAGCGACGTGCACCTGCGGATTGCTCGGGATTCGGGGTTTTATGGCTTTTTTTTTGGGGTTTAAGAGATCCGATCTTAATGCGTTTCCTTCTTTTGCTTTGGAGTGTTTGGCTTTACACCCACGGTGGAAGCCCCATGAGGGGAGCCGCAAGGATTGAACAGTAGGGGAGTTTGAGGCTCAAGCATGACGGTTCAACGCGCAGGATTCATTGTTCAGGGTTTAGGGTTTAGGGCTGTGACAGCTGAAAGTCTGACCCCTGCGCGGACCCGCCAGGATTTTGTGGCCTTGCTGACGGAGCCCTTGGGTGACCACTACAGCAAGAAGGGCACGTCGTGGCCTCAGCATCCTTGCAACACCCCGACGGCAGTGGTATATCCTAGGGTCTATCGCTTAGGGTTGAGTTGAGCGAGTTTGGGAAACATGGGTTAGTTAGCTTTCAGGCTTCAAGCCTTCACCACCAGGCTGAAAGCCTCAGACTCGCTTCAAGGCCTCATCAGTTCCATCTTCGGGGTTGTGAAATACGATGCACAGCCCTACACCGCCACCCTCATCCAAACCGGAACTTGGAACGAACCACCACCTGGCTCTTGCGAACATAAATGCCAGGCTCTAGGTGGCTGCTACAATAACAGCTACAATCACTGCTTCTGCTGCTGCTGCCGCCACCACCCCCACCACCACCACCACCACCACCACCACCACCACCACCACCACCACCACCACCACCACCACGGCTGAGCAAAAAAACCGTAACCCCAAAGCAGGGCACGACAAAGTCTCCGACCCTGTGTATCACAGAAGCCCATGAAAGAAGTCCCAGAATTTTCGGGCCGGCTTGGGGATCAAGATTTGGGGTCTGGGTGTAGGGTTTTGCGGTGTAGGTTTAGGATTTGGGGTGTAGGTTTAGGGTTAGGTGTCGAATTTATGGTGGAGCTTCAACCCGAACATTTCTTGCGTGGCGTATGTGCGCTTGTGCAAGGTCGCGGCTGCTGAACCTTTTCGGCCAAGAAGCCGTGAAAGCAGGAGAGGTCTTCGGGGTGTCGCGTGGAAACCGGTGGAGGTTTAAGGCTTTAAGGTTCAGGGTATAGGGATTCGGGTGGGGTTTGAGGCTTGGGGTCTCCAGGGTTAGGCTTCGGGTTAAAGGTTTGAGAGATCTGCAGGCGGCCGAGAGATTACACGTGCCTAAACCCTAAACCTAAACCCT